TCAACCCAACCGTGTTTGTACTTAAGGCCTCGTGCCTTCCTTATCAATCAATCAGTTAAGTTCCAATTCTATCAATATCCCCACCCCACCTCCATATACCCACCCCACCTGCCATATCCCCACCCCACCTGCCATATCCCCACCCCACCTGCCATATCGCCACCCCACCTGCCATATCCCCATCTGCCATATCCCCACCCCACCTGCCATATCCCCACCCCATCTGCCATATCCCCACCCCACATGCCATATCCCCATCCCACCTGCCATATCCCCACCCCACTTGCCATATCCCCACCCCACCTGCCATATCCCCACCCCACCTGCCATATCCCCACCCCACCTGCCATATCCCCATCCCACCTGCCATATCCCCATCTGCCATATCCCCACCCCACCTGCCATATCCCCACCCCACTTGCCATATCCCCACCCCACCTGCCATATCCCCATCCCACCTGCCATATCCCCACCCCACCTGCCATATCCCCACCCCACCTGCCATATCCCCACCCCACCTGCCATATCCCCACCCCACCTGCCATATTCCCACCCCACCTTCCATATCCCCACCCCACCTGCCATATCCCCACCCAACCTGCCATATCCCCATCAAAACTGCTATATCCCCACCGGACCAGCTTCAACTGCACACATGCCAGCTCTACACACCTGTCACAGCCGATTTCCACCTGCTAGAACCGTATCCCACCTACGGTGGCTCAGAAAGCCAGTGGACGAGAACAACACTTGGAGGGAGGGGGAGGGAGGGGGGGTATTCAGATGCATGACGGGCAGAGGGGGTAAGGGGGGTAGGTATTCAGGGGAAAGATGGGGGGCGCTTCAAGAGCAGATCAGCCTGGTTTGCTCAGTAGTAGTGCCTGTGTGTTCACCTTGCCTGCGAGCTAGTTTGGGTTTGTGACCTATTTAAGGATAGGAGGATTTCAAGTGTATACACGAACAAGGAATCGGCGGACCATGGCGTCAAACATATAGAATAGCTCACACTGAACACACATCGAGCCCATATCAATGCCCACGCAACAAGGCCTGCCAGCCATGCCATGCGCCACAACGAGTGGCAGACTGGCACTCTCTCAGCCAACGGTAGTTCTTGAAATGAGGAGCCTCACATGGCTCTCACTTCACCCCCTTACCGGTGGCATGAAGGAGCTTCATTAAGCTCGCCTTCCTAAGCTCTTTTCGGAGCACTGATGCATTGCCTCTGGTTTGTTCAGTAGTAGTGCCCGTGTTTGAAGTGCCGGTGCGCTTACCTTGATTGTGTGTAGTCTGTTTTTGCATGGTTGGATTGGAGGTGTATATTTCAAATAAATAGCATGCAAACAAGGAATCTGCAAAACACTATACAATCAGCTCAGATATACACAAGCACTCTTGCCACAAACAGCAAGCCCTTCCGGATCAATGCTCCACTCAACCTGCCCTGCCATCCCATGTGCCACATGGAATGGCACTGCCACGCCATGCTGCAATGCCCTGCCACGCCATGCTGCAATGCCCTGCCACGCCATGCTGCAATGCCCTGCCATGCCATGCGCAACAGCATCACTTAAAACGAAATGGATACTCGCCCCCTCTTCCGTGTCATGAAAGAGCCTCACAATGCTCTCCCCCTCAGCGGGAGATGGGCTGCACCACGAGGGGGGACCGCACGCTGTGGCCCTGGTCGTCCGCCCAGACTAGAAACCCGTACTTGAAGTCATTACTGGGGGTATCAACCGTGACCGTCACCGTGTAGCTCCCCTTCTCCCCGGGAGCCAGCGTGAGGCTCCTAGGCCCCACAGTCACCTTCACTCCCTGCGGGGGCTTCCCAGATACACTGTATGTGGACCGGGACTGCCCCACGTTGGTGACGGTGCGGGTGACCTGCAGGGAGCCCTGCAGGCGGGGCAGAGTGATGGTGGGCAGGTTGAGGTTGCGGACAGCCAGAGGGGAGAGCGCCGCCCCTGGGAACTCCTTTTTGGCACGGTTGAGGTCCTGCCCGGCCAGGAAGTTCTGGTAGTCGCGGTCGCGGGCGTCGTAGGTGAGCCCGGGGTCGAGCATGGCCGGGGGGAACACGTGGCCTGCGCCCATCTCCCACGGGGTGGCCTCCCCGCCTGTCGCACTCCTGATGGCGCTCTTGCTCGTGTCCGTCACCCGCGCCGTCGTCATCAGCGCTGACATCACCTGCGCCGGGGTCCAGTTGGGGTACTTCTGGATAATTAAAGCGGCTAAACCCGCCAAATGAGGGGTGGCCATGGAAGTGCCCGACATGCGGGCGAGGGCACCAGGGTCGCCGGGTTTGTTGCCGGGAGCAGCGGCTACGAGGTCGACTCCGGGGCCGATGATGTCGGGCTTCAGGATGGCGTTGCCTGGCTTGGGCGGCTGGGCCATGGCGGACGGCTGCAGCAGGGGGCCGCGGGAAGAGAAGTCAGCCACCACGGGGGCGGAGGAGGATGCAGTGGTGAATGTGATCCCGCCGTCCGCAGTCAGAACGGTGCTGCTGCTGCCGTCCGTGCCGTTGCCATTGAAGTTGCCGCCTGTGCTGCCATCCGTGCCGTTGCTGCTGGTGGTGGCACCGAGAGCGAGCGACTGAACGCCGGCAGTTGAGGAGGTGAGGGAGGCGCCTCCTGGGGCAATGGTGCTGGCGCCAACGGTGAGATAGAAGGGGGCGAAGTTGTCAAGCGTGCGGTAGAACCCTCCACGACCGGGAGGCCCGGCGTTGCCGGTAGCAAAGGCGACAAACACCCCGGCAGCATTGGCGCGCATGAAAGCGAGGTCGTTGAAATAGTTGTCCTCGGGATTCACGCCGCCCAGAGACAGCGACAGCACATCCACACCGTCTGCCACGCCCTGATTGACGGCTGCGATGATGTCTGGCTCCGTGGCGTACATGTCCCCGTTGTCGTCCGTCCAGAAGACCTTGTACGCCGCAATGCGCGCCGCCGGCGCCATGCCACTCACCTGCCCGCCGCCCTTCACCTTCACGGGGTTCCCCGCGGCAGCCCCCGCGCACCACGTGCCATGGCCGTCCGCATCTCGCGGCGAGAGCCAGTCGTTGGTCAGCACGGGCTTGCCGCTGCTCTGCTGGAAGCCGGCATAGAAGGCCTTGGCGCCGATCACCTTGTTGTTGCACCGGAACGAGCTCGACTGCTCGCACTTGCCCTTCCACCCCGCGGGCAGCTGCGAGGAGAGGCCCTTATCGCTGAAGGACGGGTGTTCGGGCCAGATACCCGTGTCCACGATCCCCACCACCGTGCCCTCGCCCGCCTTGCTCTGCCCGCCCACTGCCGGCCACACCTTCCCGGGCAGCCCCAGGAACTGCGGCGAGTCGCTGGTCTGCCGCCGGAACACGCGGCTGGCGCGGACGGACGCCACGGCGGGGTGGCGCCGCAGCCGCCACAGTTGGCGCGCAGTGAGGCGCGCGGCGAAGCCGTTGGACGTGTGCTTGTAGCTGTAGAGCAGTCCGTCCTCGGGTACGCCCGCCTCAGATGCCACCTGCGCCTGCTGCCGCTGCAGCAGCCCCGCGAACGCTGCCACCTGGGGGCGGTCCATGCTCAGACTCAGCCGGTGCCGCGGGCACCCGCCGCCACCGTTACGACCTCCACTGCCGTTACCACCGCGACCGCCGCGAGCGCTGGGAGTGACAGCGGCGTCAGATGTTCCGTTTGCGGGCGGAGATGGCGCCGTCGCGTTTGAGAACAGCTGGTCGCCGTCGGTGTCGTCCAGATCGACGGTTTCGCCGCCTGCGGCGGCGGCGGTATCGCCAGCGGGGAGAATCATTTGCGGCACGGCCTCACTGTCCTCCTCGTCGCTGCCGTCGTCCCACGTGGCCGTGGCAGGGTAGCCCGCGATTCCGCCGCGGTATTCGGAAAGGGGAGGCGCGGCATTCAAGCGAACGATGTAGACAGCGGAACCGTCAGCTGCTGGCGTCGAGAATTCGCCGGAGTTGTCGCGAGAGGGCGCTGCGAGGTGAGAATTATCGCCTCCGTTCCGCCATGCGCGGTTCAGGTTGCGCCAACCTGATTCGCGGCTTGCACTGGATGGCTGTGCGGCCAGCAGAAAAGCTCCTAGGATCAACAGTATCGCGACATCGTAGCCGTAACGGGACCTCATTGTGAAACCTTAAAATTTTCGTGCGCGTATTGCTTGTAGGCGTGCCGAAGGGTTGATTGCCGAACGAATCAGAAGAAAACAAATGGTATAGAAGGAATGGATGTCTAGTAGTTATGAATGCTGTCGGAAGACTTGAATTGTTGGTTTTGGGGGAGAGAGTGTTGGTTTTGTACCCAACACACCAGCTCACATGTGCGAGGAGCCGCACATTTGGCTGGGACCGTGTCGCGTCGTCTGCCCTGATGGTCGGAAATGCGGCAGGCAGGAAGGTGGGTCAGTTTTGGACTTCGCTTGGCCGTGGCGTTTGTGCGTCAATGCCACTGGTTCGCGAAAGTCTACGAAAGAGTTATGAGCGCAATCAAGCTCAAAATTATGGCGAGATGCCAGCTTCATGTTTGTAACACTGTCGCAAGCCAGGTCATTTCCCAGGAAGTGGTCCAAACCCGTAATGGGCACGCGAAACCTGCTCGCTCTGCGACATTCCAAATTGACTTGACAAGAATTTGAGGATTTCGCTCGGCGTGCTCCAAAATGCGGCGCGGGCCCAAAGAAAAGGGCAGGGTGAATAAAAATATAATTTATATAGGAGCTGTACCAGTTGAGTTGAGAATGAATATACAGCTGAAATTCAGAATGCGTCAGGCTAACTTCTGTTTTGTGGGGGATGACAGCAGACAATAGAGTACCCCAGCTTTTGAAAGGTACTTTAGAATGCGGCAGCACACATGGACGAATCCTACTAAGGTGTGCCATGTGGCGCTGCCAAACACTCTGCTCTCATGCCTTGGGAGGGGCGAGTGGGTCGAGACTCGGAAGAGGTGCATATTGTGCTGCCTGTGCCTTCATGGCAGTGCTGCACACCTACGTGGCAGTGCTGCCTGCGC